TTAAAAAACGTGAACATCACACAGATTAATATGTACCCCTAAGTCTCTGGAACGGAATACATGCACCAGTGAACCTACAACTACGCGATTTATATTTTAAAAATAATTAAATTCACTTAGCATTCAAAACTTGTGAATTTTGAAAAAAACAAATTTGCCGATTAAATACGGACAACCGTTTAACTGAAGTAAAACGGGTTTTCCCCTTGCTATGGATGTTTGCCTAGTTCATTTCATCCACATTCCGCTACAGTTCGCCTTTATTATCAGTTCGAAATGGGATGGTTCCATAATACCCGCAGTGTTCCATAATACCACCTTCTCCTCTACTAACAACAGACAAAAGAGAGTTTCAACAAACACTTTCATTTTAATTTTTTAAATAAGCATTATTTTAACCATAACATAGCCATACAGAATTAAATGCTAATTGCTGTATAATTACAGCATTTACAACAGTTATAATTTAATTTTGTTTGATTGTATTATAATTAAAAACAACAAATGATACACAATGTTTAAAAAAGACAAACAAATGAAAGAACAATGTTTCATTATTTATGGTAAACAAATTATAATTTGAGTAGCTAAGTAGTAAATTTATTAGTCTTAAGTTAGTGGATATTATTTATAAAAGATCTCACAATATCAAGCTACATTACTTATTAAAATTCTACTGTCAAGTTTTAATAAAGATGTTTTTTGAATAAAATTCTCAGTTCTGCAAATGCTGATCCAGAATTTGAAGGAAGAGGAGGAGAGGATATAGCTGATGATATAGGTATGATACTTGGTCAGGCATATTCCAGTCCACAATGTTTGGATTTAAAATCTCTTTGTGTAATACCTGGACAACAAGTTTGGATTCTTTATGTTGATATAGTAGTAAGTATAAATAATTTATTAACTGTAATAATGAATGAATTAACATGTCATCCATAAATATTTAAGTTTTAATTTATAGAAGTTGATTAGAAATGTATATTTTTAATAGCATTTTTTAAATGAGAATTAAATTAGATTTTTTTCTCTTAACTCTTTCTGCTCTATGGTCACAAAGAACATTTTTTTAAGTTTTAAGAAAGTTTTTCTAAGAGACTGATGAATGCTTATTTGAGATGTGATTGTTTATTATTACGGTCCAAACAGATGTAGATTTTCAACATGTATTAAAAAATTAAATCAATTAATGATTAGAATTTAATATTTTAGAACCATACTGTAATGTTTTGCTCTAGAATTAACTCATGAGACAATCTAACAAGAAAAATGCTTTATTTTTTAAAAGCATAAGTAAAAAATATGGTTTGACAGAAAATATTAAAAGAACTGATACTTCAATTCTAATAGTTAGTGTTTATATATCATGAGATGTTCAAGCACTTGAACTTTTTTAGGGTGCAAACAAATACTTGTTCCATTTTGCATTTTGATTGTTTCTTGTAAAATTTTATTTGAATTTAATAGAAAAATTATATTAAAAAACTTCATTTTCCTTACAGCAGCCATATTTTTCTTACTTGTTAGATTTAAAATTAATTAATTAATTTAGCTGTACAATTTATAAGTGACTTTTTTTATTAAAAAAAAATGCCTACAAGAAAANTGGAAAAAAAACAAAATTACTTTCCAAACAACCAAATAGTAAAACTTTAAAATGTTTATTGATTTCTATAACAATCATATATTTGCTATATTCTTTAATATGACAAGTATTTTTAATTTTATGAGTGAAAGAGTTGGATGACTCTAAATAAATGATGCTTCTGCATATTTAATTGGATTAAAAATTATCTAATCATGACATTACTATTTGTTACCACTAAGAAACTCAGAGAGATTATGATAACACTAAATTAATAGAAAATGGAAATAATTTTTTTGAGCAGTATAAAATTTTACCAGTAGAGAGTGATAAATATTTTTTTTTAATTGATTATTATTATGGTTTAATAAGTTGTACATTTTCATAAGTTGTACAATTGATTTGTGTGAATTTATATCTCTATTATTGAATATTAATCTTAATAAGAGATAATGGGAATGACGACTGAAATTCTTTCGGATGATTGACTTTCGGATAATCGACGCTCTACTGTATATTTATATCATTTTATTTAGATGGAAGTAGTAAGGATTTTTATATAGCGGTGTTATTTTTATGGAGTGTCTGGAAATTTCTTACTTTGAAAATTAGTTTTTTCCTCCTTTTCATATTTTTTAAAGAAAATTTTAGCCAATATACTCTTAATGTACTTTAAAAAATAAAGAACCTCTGTGCCATTAAATAAAGAACCTTTTCATGCCATTAAAATATCATTTTCATATTTAATATAATGAATTGATATTTTTAATGTGTTTTAAATGTTAAGTTATTGAAGAAAATTATCTCTGTAAAATTTGTATATTTTTATAGATTTTACAATGTGGAGGAAGTTTATTGGATGCTGCTTCTATGGCTGTAAAGGCAGCTTTGTTTAATACAAAGTATGTATATTTTAAGCTTTCTAATTTTATAAGATACTGTAATATGTAATATAATGTTTTTGATGATCAAGATTTATTTTGTAAAAAAATAACTGGAAATCTGCATGATCCTATAAAGAACAAGCAGTTAAATTGCAATTTTTAGTCATATTTGTAATTTATTTAATTTAAAATATATGCTTTCCATCTCAAATTAGTAGTGTCTTGTTCCTGTATATCATACTTTTACTATTAGTAATACAGTTGTGCCAGTCATCTAACTCAAGTCGAGAAAATTTTTGAATTGAAATAACGTAACTTCTGGTTTGCACTGGAAGTTTGTATAAAGTTAATAGGAGCCTCCTTTCTCTAAGATATCCATATCAGGTCTTAACTTTCATCTATCTAACACCGTTCTTGAGATTAAAGAAGGACAGACAGATGGACAACAGTGGGAATTTATTGGTTAACAATTTTTTTGAATTGCAACCCAATTATTTTTAATGGTATTAAATGTATTTTGCTTTTATATTACAAAAATATAAGATATTTGATAAATTTTATACAAATGAAAGTTTTCTATTTATTACAATGTATTGGGTTGTTCAGAAAGTACTTTTGTTTTTTTTTTACCACTAGACGGATTAGTCATATTTTCCTCACCATTTTCATTCTAAACCATATTATCATTATATATTTTGACAGCTAGCATTTTAAGGCTTATTTGTAAAAAAATTTGTTTGATTTTGTGCAATTGTTTATTTTTTGTGTCAAACCAAACAAAATAAAGGTACTGATTGAAGCAAACTGCCAAATAACAACACATGAAATCACTAAGAGATTAAATTTGTCAAATTGAACTGTTTACTTGAAACAAATTGGTTTCATTTCAAAGTTTGATATATGGATTCCACATGTTCTTAAAGAGAGATGCTCTCTTTGGTAGGATTTTAAGGAATTTTTTTTTTTTTTTTTTGGAGCTTTTACCAAACAATTTAACAATTGATTCGAAAGTGTACTGCCATCGAGTAAACGAATTGAGGAATATCATCAAACAGAAAAGGCGGCCAGAATTGATCAACAAAACAGGTGTAGTGTTTTACCATGATAATGTCAAATTTCACACAAATTTGGTAACTGGTCAGAAACTGTTATAACTTAGATGGGACATGCTATCACACCAACCATATTTGCCAGATCGAGCACACTCAAATTATTACTTGTTCCAGTCTATACAAATTTTTTTAACTGTAAGACATTTACTTGAAATGACAATGTCAAAAATCACTTGGATCAGTTTTTTGTAAGCAACGATCAAAACTTTTATGAATGAGAAATCATGCTACTACCAGAAACGATGACAACAGGTATTTGACCAAAATGGTCAATATATAATTCAATAAAATATTTATTTATTATAAAAATATTGTGTTTTTTTCCTCGGAAAAAAAACAAAATTACTTTCCAAACAACCAAATAGTAAAACTTTAAAATGTTTATTGATTTCTATAACAATCATATATTTGCTATATTCTTTAATATGACAAGTATTTTTAATTTTATGAGTGAAAGAGTTGGATGACTCTAAATAAATGATGCTTCTGCATATTTAATTGGATTAAAAATTATCTAATCATGACATTACTATTTGTTACCACTAAGAAACTCAGAGAGATTATGATAACACTAAATTAATAGAAAATGGAAATAATTTTTTTGAGCAGTATAAAATTTTACCAGTAGAGAGTGATAAATATTTTTTTTTAATTGATTATTATTATGGTTTAATAAGTTGTACATTTTCATAAGTTGTACAATTGATTTGTGTGAATTTATATCTCTATTATTGAATATTAATCTTAATAAGAGATAATGGGAATGACATAAATGTATTTTATAAACAATGGAATATCCTGAAAAATATTGATTTTATATATAGGGTGTTTCTGAAATAGTGAACAAACTTCAGATGATTCCTCACATGAAAATAATTAAAAAAGTATATAAACAGATGTATGGAAATGAGTAGTTTCTGGACATATGGCACATGACAGATATTACAGTGTGTTGTGATGCTACAGTTTGAGTGAGGTTACAGTTTGTATGTTAAGCATGGCAAGTTACTCATTATGAGAAAGTGTGGATATGATTTTAATGTATGAATATGTGAATGATAATACTCAGGAAGCCAAATGTCTGTATGCAGAGGCTTTTCTCTATTGGCAGAAACTAAATTCCAAACCCTTTACATAATTGTACTGCCATGTGGCAAAGACTGGAACAATTGTGCATGCTGTGGCAGATGGTGAAAGACATATCTTCTTCCAGTTTTCAAATGCAAACCAAACTGGAAGGGAAGAAGATATAAAGTTTATTCCTGCAGCACCTGGTATCAGCATGAGAAAACTGGTGGCCATCTTAGTAAATCATTCCACTGTGTGCACAAGAGCTTTAACATCTGCAGTGTGTTTAGAGTATTGCAAGTAGATTATCCATATTGGAAATGCTTTTATCAGTGGTTCATCAGTATAACCATTGCCCATTCATTGTTTGTAGCCAGAATGTTGTTCATTGATGTGGCAACCTTCTCTAGAGATGGCAAACAAAACTTCCAAAATCAACATGTGTGGGCATCAGAGAATCCATGCACGACCATTCAGATGCTTACCAACATTGAGCACATTTCAGTTGAATTTGAGATTACATGTTTTATTACAACAGCTGGAGAGGTGTATGGGAAATTCCTCACCAATGTCCTTGTGCTCCTGGAGGATGTGTCCCTTGTTTTATGTGTAGAGATGTGGTTTATGCATGATGGAGCTCTAGCTTATTATAGTCAACATGGCATGCGCTAAACTAAATCATAACTATCCACACAGGTTGAGAGGCAGAGCAAGTCTGGCAGTATGACCTCCACATTGTCTGAATCTGAATCCTTTAAATTTTTATTAGTAGAGCCATCTGAATACTAGTTCAGGAGTCCCCAAGCTTTTTGACTGTTAATCCTTTCAAGGATTCCTTCACTTTTAGTGACTCCTCTTTTTTGCTAATACAGTTAATAATAATACTTGGAATAAATAAATCTGGTGAGCCAGTAAACACAAAAAAAAAATCCACAGTGTTTTCATATGAAAAAAATATACTTACAGTTTGCAAATTTACAATATTCTGAACTACATAACATGTTGAACTAACAATTTTTAATGAGCTATTCTCAATCAACTGCTGAAAATGCTTTAACTGCCACTTTGTAGATTCCTGCTTAGTGTATCTACTCCCGGTGACAGTGCAAACATGCTGATACAACATATCAATGTCTGCACAATCATTTGTGGGAGGCTTGAACCTTTGAAAGAGTGCAGCAGTCCATGCTCTGACATCTCCATGCATGGATGCATAGGCATACATAACCCTTTTGATTACATAAGAAATGTCTTATGTGATCAAAAGGGTTATGTAAAGAGTTAATAATGGAGTTATGTAATAAAATCTGTCATCTTTCACCTGATTCTATCAGAGAGGTTTGATTTCTCAAATCAATCTTTTTCAGACATGTCTTGGTTTCTTTGTTTTCCTGTGAGAAATCATCTAATGAAGATTGCCACTATTATTTCAGAAATGCTTTGTATAAGAATGAATCATTACTAGGACATTGTGTGACTTCGTTGCATTGTGATAGAATTGAGGCAGAGCAGGGAAAAAAGAAGCAATTCTTTTACTTGTTAGGTACAGAAGAAGCAATCCTTGCAATTGTGTACAGGCAAATTTTGCACTTGCTGCCATAAAAAGGACTATCTTTGCACTTGATGGCCATGGGAGATGTGATCCTTGTCTGCTGGATACAGAGAGAGATGATCCTTGAACTTGCAAACATGGAGAGGCAATCCAAGAACAAAGCAATTGGTGACAATTGCTTTGTTCTTGGATTGCCTCTCCATGTTTGCAAGTTCATATTTTCTGTTAGGCATATGCATTGCTACTTTTATTTTTGATCCCTAAATTTCATTAGGTGTGCTCATTCATGTAAGAAAATTATTTATTGCCAAAATAATAATTAAATTTTTTACTTTTTATTACAGAATTCCATCTCTTGTTATAAATTATGAAACTGAAGGAAAAGCAGAAATTGATGTTACAGAGGATCCATTTGATGTAAAATCATTGGATACTTCAAATATTCCTTGTCTTGTGACATTGTGCAGAGTAATTTTGTGTTCCAAATTTCAAATTTAATAACAAAAATGAGTTAAACTGCTAACTAATATGAAAAGTAATAATTTTAATTATTATATTCTTACAATAGGTAGGTCATCAATTTATAGTTGATGCCACTCAAGAGGAAGAAGAATGCTGTGTTGCCAAATTAGTTATGGCAGTTTCTGAATCTGGGACATTAACTGCAGTCAGAAAATGTGGTCCAGGAAGTCTGCATCCTGAAAGTATTTTAGATATTTTAGAGGTAAGATTACTTCTAATAAAATTGAAGACAAAACTGTCCAAAAAGGATCACCATTTATTATTTTTTGTGTTCCAAGACTAACACATTTTCGGCGACTGACCTTTCTTTTTAGGCTGCTTGTAGCCGGAAAAATTACAAAAAGTCCTTTTAAAAAACACAAAACACATCCAATTAAAATTTTTAAACATTTCTGAAAAACGAACTGGTGACATACAGTTGTCTTGCTTACTTCCATCTATACCTTCTTTTGGGGGTTTCCTCTGCTTTTTATCTACTAAAAATTGGTGCTGGAATATGTAGATTTTTAGAAAAGCTGCCCCCTGGTGACGATACATGTAGAAATTTCTTCTGTAAAAGTTCATCCGATGGAGAATTATTTCTAATAAAATTGAAGACAAAACTGGACAGTTTTGTTACCATCACATTAAAACGTAAAACATGGTGGATAATTGCATTTGAATTGTTAAATGATCCTTATGTTATTTATAAGTAATATTATATTATATTATGTAAATATAAAATAGATTTTATGTAATATTGTAAATAAAATGTTTTGCCTTCAGTTATTTACACTGGTGTGCAAAACTTAAGCAACGATTGTTTTTTGCCATAACTGCAAGAAATCATCAGGGAGACATGAAATTCAGAATATAGAGACAGTATTTTGTACTTAAGGGATGAAGAAAGAATGCCAGTGCAAAAATGAATAAAACGCATACAGTATTGGAATCAAAGCCTTCTTTTTATTGTAGTCTTGCACTGAGCATGCTGACTGCACACATTTTGTGTGCCCTCACATCACCTGTGATGTCTTTGTCCTGCATACGAATCACCTTTCTACCAAATTGGATGACATTGTACTGATTGTAACAAGTCCTTTTTTATAATTTCATGGCTGTCTGCTTAAAAATTACATTGTTGCTTAAGTTTTGCATATCAGTGTAAATTTATATCACATATTTTGGAATTAAACTAATACTAATTATATTATTATGATTATAATTAAATTGTTCTATTAAATGCTGTGTAGAGAGATATTTAGCAACCCAAATGCAACCATGTCTGTTACAGTGACATTTTAGAACATGTGAAAGACATTTCTGTAAAAATAAATTAGTACCAAAATTTATCACTACAGATGTACTGTAATGGCACTTCAACCATTTTTATGCAAAATAGCTCTACATATTGAATGTTGTATTTAGCAGTGTTGGCAACATTTCACTGATAACAGAGTGATTAGTTGCCTGGCCACCTTGTTCTCCATATTGTAAGAATCAATGTGATCTTTGGTTGTGAGGCAGTTAAAGTTTGGTTTATCAAGGACATGCTTGAAAGCAGCCTTGAAAGAACCACACTGTGTGTGAGAAGTTGCAGAAGATCAATTACAGTTGGTCATTGAATACACTGTTCATGCTTTCAGGTTTTATACCTTTATATTGGGGACACATTGAGCAGTATTCCCTCCATCATTATTATGTCTGAATAGCATAAATTTCATGTACAAATAAAATGTTTATTGCTTGAAGGTCTCAAAATTGCCTTAGTGATGAATTTTGGTACTAATATTTCATACGGAAATATAATATTTGAGGACACTTCAGATTATTCCATTTGGACTGCTAAATATCTCTCTAGAGTAGTGTTGAATATGGATACTTTAATTACAGTCATCGATATAGTATTTTTTTTTCTTTTTTGTGACAATATGGGAGAATAAGTTTACAAATGATAACTATTTAGCTCTGGAAAAATTACAATGTACTTGTATACAACTTAATACAGTATTGTTGAATTTTCTAGTTTTAGTAAGAAAAAATTTTTCAGAATTATATAACCGAAAAATTAATTTTTATGACAATTTTTGTTTGAAGAAACATATAGCAAAAATTATTCTAATGTTAATACTGGCGTTATTCTCTATTATATATTTTTAATAGTTTTGAAAATCAATTATAATTTTTTCAAACTATTTTAATGTACATAATTTTCAATAACCTCTTTACTTTTAAAAGAGATAGCAATGACAAGGAAGATACATTTTCAAAATTAACTACAGTAGAATGTCAATTATCTGAGACTAAATATTCAAAATATCTTTTCCTCTTTTTTGGCCCACTAATGGCTGAGTGGATAAAATCATTGAACACTGGTAGTTAGTTTCAAGTTTGCACCTGACTAATGGGCTGGTTACATGGAGATTTCTCGGTTTCTTTTATGTGACTGAAGCTGAAATAGTGACCAGTTTTCCACAAAGCAATATCCCGTTGGCAGATCATCTATATGTTGCATTGCCATATCCCATTAATCTAACCCAGGTTTTTTTTATTTCTTCTGTTTCTTTGGATTGTTAAAAGTAAAGTATTAAATGGATGTATTGGATGTCTTAAATGGATGGATAAAAAATGACAATGTCTGACACAAACTGACATACTTTCTCTGTTAGAAACAGTGATTTTGTGGTTTAAACAATGAGTGTTGTCCTGTGTAATCATTTTAGAAGTAACTACTTCTAAAATTATTCAGAAATCTTGCTGCAAAAATCAACTTTGGTACAAAGAAAAATCAGTGGTTACTTTTACAAATAAGGTATAGTCAACCCCTTTAAACTAATACCATTAGTTTTTAGACTATGGTGGAAGGGTGAGTCTGGCTATGTATTGAAAATGGCATGCAAATAGGAATTTCAGGATAATAAGAATAATTATCACTTCTCCTTCATTTAAATTACGTTTATTGTTTATAAATGTTTGCTTATTAAAAAAAACCTGTCAAAAGTAGTTTGAACTACATTATTTCTTCACGTTATGGAAATAAATGTATCCATTGAGTCAATATGCATCAGATAATCCTTACTGGATGCACTTACCTCCAGATAATGCCAAATTTTTCCTAAACAGGTCTGAGCTTCTTTTGCAGTTACTAGAGGATTTTCTATGTCATTGTTATCGTGGTCTTCATTTTCTTCTTGCAGTCGACTATCTTCTTTTCTGTCAAAATTAACTATTTCTTCTGAGGTTAACTCTGCGAAATTATCCTCATTACAATCAATTTCAATCAATTCTTCATCAGCAAGTTGGATTGTGGAAGTGATGTTTGAAAGATTATTTGAATGTTAGGTAGTGATCTCAACTCTGTTGTTATGATTCTCATCAATTTGTGCCTTCTCTCTGAATAGGCCAGTGTGTAGCCAGCAATTTTTTAATTAATTAGACACATTCCTATTGAGATTTCAGGGATATTTTAATAGGAATTTCATCATTGATGCATTTGGTAATTTTCCTTACTTTGTGGTTGGTGTCTGTAGTTAGATTTAAAACTTTTTATTATGTCAGCATCAAGGGGTTTGCAGAATTCCCATGCAATTTGCTGGAAAGAATTGTATTTCCACATTGCTCACATTGACTGTCTTACAATAGAGTCATTATCAATTAATAGCAGGACATTACAGTTCTCTCTCTTCATATCCCTTCATATCCCAAAATCTTCAACAGATTCTTGAAAAAGTAGGACTGTCGTCCATCTTTTATGTTGTGCTTGTAGTGGCAATAAATATAAGAATCTAAATGTTTAAAACAACAAGACTTTGTGAATCTTTCAATAACAGTCACAATTCTCTTATCAATACTTTCTGAATTACAACAAAAGATAATTGTGATTCTGTCTTTATTCTTCTTGCAGTCTTTCACAAGTGCATGAACAATTGTTTTGTCAGGTTGTTCTTGGTAAAATAAAGTAATTTCATCCATGTTATACACATCTTTCATATCATACTTTGCTTTATTATTGTTCATAAACTAGTTCTTCCCTCTACAACCTCCAAATCAACTTCATCAGTTTTAATGTTTCTTTCACTGAGATAGGCCATGACACTGTTTAAATCTATGCAGCCACCCATTGCTGTAACTAAAATTGCTTATATTCATCTGCTGCCCAAATAATTTTGTTTTGCTTTCTTATCACATCATTTGTGACAGTGCCATTCTTTGCATTTACTTACACAATCTATATCACTAATACAATTTCAAGTTTGTCATATTTTCATTTTTTTGCATTCATTCACTTGCTTTTTTGGTTTAAAATATCTCATGCCGTCCATCTATTTATATTGTTTTCCAGGCAAAAGAAAAGTTACAGGCAATACATTTTTGAGAACAGGATGGATGGATTTCATTATATTGCAGATTTCTTGCTTTTCTTGACTGTAAGGATCATTTTCTTCTCCATTATATAAAATACTAAAACAATCACACTCACAGTGTACAGTACAATACAATATGTACTTTACAGCAAGAATTCAGAGCACAAAAAAGATCTATACAGTTTCAGACTTGACTGACAGAATGTGTCCCAGCTCTTACTGTTATTTGGGCCATGATCAGATCTTAACTGTCATAAAAGTTAAGATCTGATCATGGTCCTCCTAAATTTCAGTTGGGTAAGAAAAAACCATTACTTGTGAAGAAACTTCTTGTTTCTCACATTTTAAAGTTGCTCTTGTTTCACAATATTTTACCTTAATATTTGTGACAATAAAATGCTGGTTTATCTGAAATATTTTGCATGGAAAATGACAGCTTTACTTTAAATCATGGTTGGCAGATGGTGGGAAATGGGGTGGAAATTTATACTATCAATTTACTAAGGAATGAATGATTTTTTTTTAGATTTTTGGCATAAAACCTGGGGTGGCAGTTGGATGGACAGTTTAAAGGGGGTTGACTGTATTTTATTACATTTATTTCATTTTATACAGTACTGTATTGTATGATGTGTATGTCCACATTAATTAATAAGTCAGTCTGTAAAATAAAGAGATTCAAATTTGTAAACTTTTTAATCTTTGTAGGTCAATATTCAATTATCCAAATGTTTGCATATCCAAAGTGTGCTTCGCTATAGTTCATTTAGATAATCAATGTCCTGCTGTACATTGTCAAAAAACATATGCAGAATTTTGCTTAATTTGTTTTTTCATTATTCCTTGGTTAAAAGAAGAATAGATTTAATTTATCAAATTGTTAATTTTTTCCTTCTTTGTTTTAAGTTAGAGGATATTTGAAAAACTTTCGATGCTGAAAAGCAAAATATATTTATTGCTCTGCACTTATTCTCTTTGTTGAGTATACTAAATGATTATTGTTTATCAATATTTAATTAACATTAAAATAATTAAAATATTCCTTTTCTTTAAAGGCCATATACTGTACATACAATTAACACACACGTAAAATATGTAAGCCTGTACTGTATATTTAGTATTTTTTCATAAATATTAAAATATATTTCACAAACAGTTTCAAAGTAATTTGTTTAAAGATCTTATGCTACTGATTAATTATCAGTAGCATAAGATCTTTAAATATAAGAAATAATAATAAAAATTTAAAAGCTTAAAAGCTTTTAAATTACTGTTTTGAAAATTTGAGTTTTATTTGATCTGAGGTGAACATGAGATGCTTAATCTGATTCTTGAAACAAATAAAATTTAAAATATTCAAAATTTTTTAATTAAGGCTGTAACAAATTCTTGTATGAAATTTTAAATAAATCTCAAATTATTTTGCATATTATTGTAAGATTATAATAAAAATACAAATTTTTGTGTGCCTTTTGAAGGAGTTTCTGAATAAAAACTAAAGGATGATTAAAAGTTGAGAAATTATTAATATTTAAAAATTGTGATGAAGAATGAAAAAATAATACATTACTAATTATTATTATTTTTATCTGTTATTGTAAAAAAACTTTCTAGCTAAAAGAATTTTTTCTATTGATATGTTTAATTATAGTAATTATAACTAAATTTTTAAAACTGATGATGTATATCATCATCTGTTATTCAGCTTATTGTATTAATAAAAAAAATTTTGTGGTATTTATCATTGTAATCCTTGTTAAACTTGTTTAATCTGAAAACAGCATTTAAATGAATAATTACGGTATTGTATTGAATATTTACATATTTTAATAAAAACTTCTGTAATTAGTTCAGCAGTTTAATAAAATAAAATTTTAAAAGTAGCATTCAAGTTAAGTTTGAAATATTACAGCTTAATCAGATTTTCTTGTCACTTCGATTTCATTTACCAATAATTAATTATAATTGTGCAAATATAAATATCCAAAAATATTATCTCCTACTTATTAGTTTTTACTAATAATATACAATATGCTGGACGGAGCATATTTATAGCTCTATATTTTAGGAAAAGTTAACTTTTGTACTGTACTTAACTAAATGAACATATATTTCCCTATTTTGAGAATAAAAAGAGTTTTTACAATTTATGTAATTACTTTTAAATTAATTAATTTATTATTTATTCAGAGTAATTTGAAAAAAATGTATTATTTTTAATTTGACTTAATGATGCATTTTTTGAAATACTAAGGTTTATATGAAAATTGATGTTTTTTTTTTCAGACTGGAAAGGAAATAGGAATAATGTTAAATGAAAAGGTAAAGCAAAAGTTGGAAATTGAAAAATCAATAACTCATGAAAGAAAAGGATTTTCAAAATTTGAATGAAATGTTTGAAATTATTTATAAGAAAAATAAATTATATTTTTATATAATGATTTGTTGGTGATTTTGTTAATCAAGATTTCTGTTTATTTTTACAATATGCATACTAATAATTACATAATACAGTAGAGCCTCGAAAACTCGGCACTCGATAACCCGGCATTCCGGATAACTCGGCCACACCCTGGCAGGGAAAAAAAATCCTTAGTTAATTAATTTTCATGATAAAGACAGCTTTATGCCTCAAAGTATTTTTCTGAGGTCTGTCTTATCAGGTAAATTACTGTACAGTGTATTCATTAATTTTCATTTTCATGTAGTAAAGGCTCTATGCCTTCATAAAAGACGTACTTTTCCTTTGTTTAAGGGTATTTGGGCAGTTTATTCTCTGTTGTATTCTCAAGTAAACAATACATACAAGTACAATACAGTATTTTCTGAAAAAACACTCATACTTATTCTTTTTAACCCCATTCCCGATAACCCGGCATTTTCACAAACTCGGCCACCCTTCGGTCCACTTTAGGCCGAGTTTTTGAGGCTCTACTGTATATGAAACTGTAAATGCATATCAGTGCTCCACAACCTTTCTTTGCCCTTGTCACACCTAAGTCCTTTTTGGAATTCTGTGACATTCTGCAAGCAAAAATTTACAAACAATATAGGATACAATAAAGTTATATATATAAATATATAAAAAGGAATTAAAGGCTAATTGATAAACAATATAGGAGTTAAAGTGTGTACACAAAAATTATCAAATAAAAAACAATAAATAAATGTAAATTTAACATTGGAAAAATTACCGATAATAAATACTATGAATACTAGAAGACTCTTCTTGTATAGTCTTGTCTTCATATATACTTGTGAGCAGTATGAAAAAAATGTACAGCAACTATCATTTTATAATTTTATTGTTTTTACAGTGAATCAGTTCATTATATTACTACTTTAACGGTGAAGCTGTTTATTATTTTAACAGTGTCTTTTATTACATATACTGTTTGTTTTACTGCTTGTTTTAATTATACTGCTCTAAGCATTGAATCAGCATGTTTAATCAAACACCTGGAATTTTATCAAACATGGTGATTTTATGTACTTTCGTAAATGTGTTATAAATAATTATGAAATTGATGCTATTACAACAAGCTGATGAGGTCCAAAATGCATTATTTTTGGAAAAATAAAGTGATTTTCTAAGGCTGGTCTTGTGTCCAGTGACAGTGTAATAAGTTTAGCAATAAAGAAAGGCCAACATAGTGCTCACAATTATATACCAATAATAAATCAAATTACCTAAGTATAAAAAAAATAAACAAGAAAAATTTTAATGTCAATAATGTCTAATACACAGTTTGATGATCATTTATTCTTGTATGATGGACATACCAACCACAAACCTCATGCTTTTTCTCCTCTTCAAGACACTGTGCTTGTGTAGTCGTGTTGAAACTGGCACTGATATATAGAATTAGTCTTACAAGTTAGCCCCTCATAAAAAAAAGAAAAAAAGACATGTTAAAACACTATATATTCAGCTACTGTATATTTACACATCACAAAGGCAAGACACTAAGCAAAATCTATGTTTTTGATTTGGTCTAGAAATTCTGAAAAAGTTTACATTTAATTAATTTAACTGCATGCATAGATTGATTTGACAAAAACTCATATCATCATTACAGATACACTAAGGTCACTTTGGGAATTATAAATTGATGTTTATTTTTAAATTTAAATTGGCAGCCAAAAATTAATTTTCACATTTTATAAGTTAATTGTGTTGTGAATCAACTATTTTTGTACTATATTAAAGTGAATTTTTAAACCAGACATTCCTAATAAACAATTTTACTTTGATATCAAAGACTTTTACAGAGATAACGTTTTTTTAATAACAAATATTGAAGTTTGATAGTCAATGTATTGTGTTGATATTTTTTTTGTTGTTTTTCTTGTTGCAGGAGCTGGAAAAAAAGCATGTGCTATGTTCCTGCTGCCTGTAAATATGTTCTGTATTGTTAAAAAAAATATTTAACTATTAAAATAATAATGTATCTCCAAGAATTAGCACCTGTGCCCAAGTGGTTTAAAGTACAGCTTTATGATATAAATGTTCTTGGAAATTAAAAAAAAATTCTTATATTTAATTTATGTTTAAGAATAATTCAGAACAATATTTTGAAGCTTTGAGTTTGTATGTATATAATTTAAATTAAAAATCATTAATACACAACTGAAAATTGAAATTTTCATCTATTTATTAATTCAAATATATTTTTTCAAGATTACATTCTACAATGGCATTAATGCAAATAAACATTACGTACCAGTATTTTAAAATTCTTATATTAAAACAGCAGATTTCTCGGGAAGAAATCTAAAATACAATCAATCTATTTGTGCATTTTAACATTAAATGATATGATTTTTCTGTATAATACAACTATGTATAATCTTTTATAAATACACATTTTAATATTAAAAACTAGTTTATTTTTTACACTGGGAATACAATGTGAAATCAACTTCTATAGTGAACTTTTTCTGTTCTTTGCTTTTAAACTATAAATATATTAATTTATATTAAGGATTATTATTAAACTAAGGATTACTGTGTAATATTTTCTTTAAAATATATGTACAGGCTCTGCAAATATATGCTGCATAGTCATAATTTATAGTGTACACTTTTAGAATGCCAAAAAACAAAGAATACTGATCATTTTTATATATTTTTAACATAATGATGTAATTATTTACTAAACTTTCCATATGAAGAGAATCATAAAGTTTTTTTTTATTTTTCAAGTGAGGCCAAATTAATCAGGTCCTTTCTTGAAAATGTCTGTTATAATTTACATGTACAAGACACTTGGTATTATAACGGAGAATTATTTACAGTTAAAATTTTATGCAACCTTTAAATTGTATTATGGCATAAATATAGTTGACAATGATGTATTTAGGTTTGTATAAATGAACCATGAACAGGCTACTTTACCTAAAAATATACTGTATTTATGACTCGAATAAATATTCTATATTTTGTATTATCTTATTATGTTATACATTAATTACTTCAAGCTAAAAAAAAAAAAAACACGCTGAATATACAAACCGATACCGACCTGATATGTTTGATATCAAAAAGCTGAAAAAATAAATATAAATCACTTTTAAAATGGTTAAACTTGTTAAAAAAAATTGTAATTAAGATAATTAAAAAATATTTACTGTTTCATTTATATACACACACTATATACATTTAAATATTTAAAGTTTTGATTTTTTTTCCGCAATGGTTAAAAGATAAAATTTTAATGAAATCTTATTTCCACTGCAATGGTAAAGGAATTTCGTTCACAATTATCTATAAAAATATGAAACATGACTAATGTAATTCGCTTTAGATGGTGAGAACTAGTAATTTTTGAATTAAACATGATTTAAATACAGATTGATCATCACTAATCCGGCATTGGGGTTTGTAGGATGTCGGATTACTGATGGTTAGACTAGAACATAACCTAACAGCTAATTAACTCATTCTATCTTAAAAATATCCTGTAAACCAGTGCAAGTTGGCCAATAAAAGAAAACAAAAATTAAATGAAAATTTTTGAAAAATTATCGTACAAGGAGCAATGTTGAACACCTTCAAAACAGTAGGGACAGGTTGATGAGGCGAGAAGAGAAATTTGAAATTACGCTAGTCGAAATTAGTGATGGAACCGGATTAGTGATAGTCGACCTGTATCACAAAGTTATACGCTATTAATCGAATTTAAAATTATATATTCTTGCGGAAATCGCCTTAATAAAATAATGATAATTGCAACTTTTCCCTATAATAGTAAAAAAAATCAAATTATTTTATTTAATTAGGAATAAGAGATCAGTGAAGTCAACACCCAACTCGACGAATAGTTTAAATAATTAAATAAACTTTTCTCATTCAAGTTTTAATAAATTTACTTCCTAAAAAATGATGGGTTTGTAAAGTATTTGCATGTAGCAATTACTCTGTAGTAACCTATACCTAAGAACCGATTAGACTTTAATGAAATGTAGTATCTAAGTAACAGTTGGAGCTGAAATTTAATATATTTTTTTTCTAAAATTTAGCGTTTTCCACATCGAATATTAAAATTATTATTTAAAGTAAGTAGGTCTATATGTAACCGAATATATAAATGTGTAATTTATGAAATTTTCTTTACGATGTACGCCTATATATAAATTTACCATTATTTAAACACTCGAATTTTAAACTGAGCATAAATTTTAAAATGCTTAAATGTATATAATATGGGCTGGCCGTGTTTTGCTTTCACAATACTTTGAAACACGCAACAACACGCTTGTGTTTAAACAATGCTCATTTAAAATTTTTATTGCTATTGGAATATGCAGAAGTAATAGATGAAATTTCAAAAGGAAAATATTCAAAAAATACTTTAGTTCTTTATAATGATAAAAGTATCTTAGAGCTTGGACTTTATTTCAAGAATTTTGCAAAAATATTAAATGATTTTAAAACTTAACGTGCTTAAAATTATGCAAGAAATTTCATCCTTTCTATATTTATATATATACAGAAACATTAAAAATATAAATTTTGTTTGTATAAAGAATATATTCTATAGGGGATATAATATGAAAATATAACTTTCAGGAAGACTTCGCAATAGTTTTTCCATGCAGAATTCAATTTAGCTCAGTTTTATTTGTTATATTAGACCGTGTAGATAAATGAACACAGAATTATGACCATATCAATTTTAATGTTCATTTATCTGCATTGGTTCTATCATAAGCAGAGCCTTAACTATAATTTATATATAGATTTAAAGTTTCTATCCAAAAATATAGTTCATCTATTACTAGAATATAATTATTTAATTTTTTTTTATTAGTTTGTATAGAATGCTTCACGAACAAGACGGTTATGAAGTATTTGAGTCGGCCTGTAATTCTTCCTAATGCATTCGGGTGATTCTTTATTGGCATTTTCTGAATTGGTCTGTTGTGGTTTACGATGCAATTTCCGAAATTCTTCGAGCTATAAAAAAAGCATAAAAATATATGAGATTATAATAGTCAATTTAATTAATGTAGTATTTAAAATTGCATTCTAAATAAACGAACAAAAATAAAAAAATAAATCCTCTTTCTTTTTTTTTACTGTACTTACATCTTGTAGAAATAATAGATATAAAAAATCTAATAAATAATTGTTTCAATCATTTAAAAAAAATTATTTACTTAAAATGGTGACGGTTATATAATATATCTTACATTAGTTATTTATATAAATAGCGGTTCCAGGAAAAAACGAAAAAGAAAAAAAATATATATACTGAAGATAGTAGCAGTTAACGATAAGACAAGAAAAGTAAAAATAAATAAAAACGTTATATAATATGTAAAAAGGTAATTATATTATTTTCTTATATATATATATATCTCATTCATTAATGAATAATTTATAATTAAAGATCTTTATATAATCTTCATTATGAATAATTTATCGACCTGTTTGTGTCTACTTTCTTAAATCAGAAAATGGGAAGTTATGTCTGTCGTAAAGCAAAAACATCAATAAAGATGAAGATACACTCATTTATCTTGCCACTTTAAGAACTTGAGCTATACTTTTCTCAAAATTATTATTTTATCGGTTTACTAATTTTTATTTTTTAAGTTTTCGAAATAGCATTGTTTTTTTTTCTATTATTTCATTAAAGAATCATCAATAACTAATTATAAATAAAATAAATATACATCAATATATCAAAGTATAATTACACAATGTTAGCCTATATAAATTCTGGGTTGTTATACACGCTTTTTTCACTATCAGTATATGTTAACTGACACTAATCTGTCTTCTCTAAAAATTTTTGAAAACGTGAGATGGTTGAGTGCTGAAATTAAAAAAAAAAGAAAAAGAAACCATAATCATTTCATCTTTAAAAATTTATATAAATTTCTAGTACGAATATTTTTAAACTTAAATTATCGTAATTTGAATGCAAGATAAAATTTAGGAGGTTAAAAAAATTATTATAAAAATTCTTGTCTATCCAAAATTATATTGTCAACTATTATAAAATTACTTAGATTTCCTAAACAGTGCGAAATTATTTTCTAAGCTAAATTTTCCAAGCTAATTCTTTTAATCCTTAAAGAATATTTACCAAATTAAATGCTTGAAGTCAATCTTAAGCTTTTGCAATATCGCTAAATTTAAATTTTTTTAAGACTCGCAAAATTCTAAATAAATTATGGTATAGGAAATCCATACTAATGTTATAAATTTGCAATTTAAAAAGATTGAAAATGTATTATAAAATGAATTTTTTACCTATTATCGATAAGTAAAAATTTTCTCAATCATTTCCAATAGGAAAAAAGAACTTTTTTTGAACTACTTTAAGTTAATTAATTATTAACTATTAGTACAGAACAATCTAAATTTACAATAAAAATAATAATACCTGTTGTTCAGATATTTGAATAGGTTCTCTGAAAACTATCCAGGTAACGCTTTCATAACAGGGTGGTGTAGTAAGAGATCCTTCATAGGTCCAAAACGTTTTGTTTTCTTTAAGATTAAAAAGTATAAAATCACATTTTAAATATAAAAAATAAAATCTTTTTGATACATGCTTGTATATATATATATTATAGCAGATAAACTTACTTGGTAAAAATGCTGTAAGATTAATTTTTTCTTCTATAGGAGTCTTATCTGCTTTATAAGCAATATTAGGCATCAATTTTGTTAGTTTGTTTAATTCTGAATTCTCTTCTCCTAACTAAAAAATAAATTTGATAAATAATATATATATTTAAGTGTCCAGAAAATGATCATACTCACTTGAAGAAAAACGCCCAGAACAGCTAATCCTCCATTACAACGAGCAGCTTCTTTGAAATTTTCAAATAAATCAGCATTCCAATGGACAAGATGAATCTGATTGATCATAATTTTAAAAATTTACTATTAATCAAAATAGAAATGGAAAAAAAAATTGTTTTAGATAAAGAGAAAAATTAGTGTAACGTAGCAAAAAGATAATGAATAAAGTATAAAAATCATTTTATTCTATTCGATTTTGTGATTTTTTCCATTTATTTATTTTGCTATAAACAGTATTAATGTACAAAAAAAATTCCATTTCATACATTCCAACAGCTGTTAATAATTTATGTAATATTCTTGGAAGAGAAGAGAATATTTTCTGGTTATATTACAATTTGAAAATAGTTTTTCATTATTTATTTAAGAATATTTTCATTCTTTATCCTAGATTTTCATTAAAACATTAAACATTCATTAAAAAATTGTCTTTATTTTGCAAATATGCATTTACAGCGCCGTAACTAGCTTTTCAGGTGCCCTGTGCTAATTTTAAATTTTTGCTTCCTCTTATTTTTGGGTAAAAATAAAACAAATAATCGATCCTTAATTTAACCACTTCTATCCTATGTAAATTATGCATTATCTTTAAAAATTCTAATTAAAATAAATCATTATTAAAAATTAATCTTGCAAATAAAATACACCTAAAATAAAAATACAGGTATATAATTTTAAGATGTAAATTTGGAAGCAGTTGAAGAAAATCCAGTATTATTGATTTAAATAAATTATCAACTTAATTTAATAAGCAGAGTAATTTATTATATTTTGACAATTTAAAACAAACATAATTAAAAAGGAGAAAAAAAAATAATTTTTTATAATCATCATTTCCATAATTTTAGTGATGATCAATAAAATAAACAAGCTAATGTTTTTATTTAATTTCAATAAATTGATCATACAAATTTATATGTACAGTAGACCCACTATAACACTGTTGATAATTTCGTGTTATATGAATTCCATGTTGTACGAGTCACTTAGATTTTACAAATACGTGTGCCAGGCTGTGAACGGCTCACGTATTTGTAAAATCTAAGTGACTCGTACAACATGGAATTCATGTAACACGGAATTATCAACAGTGTTATGAGGTCTACTGTATATGTGAGATCGTGGGCGGTAAGACCAAAAAGTGTTCGTTGAATGTGATCTTTACCTTATATACGAAATGAATGGACCAATGAAGATGTCCACAAATTCTTGTCTTGATTCTGTTACTAAGGGAAATCGGGCGTTTGTGATCCGATATCCAAGTATTAACTTTCATATATCAAAATATTAATATATTTTATATATATATATATATATATAGGCCTATATATAACAGCCTAGAAAGTAATAGTAACATATTAACAGTTTCTATACTTATTTAACTGATTGACTTATCGTCATGAAATTAAAAATATGAAGTCAGAAAGGAGTAATGCTAGATTTCGGTTCATTTTATTCAACTATTCCATTTCAGTAGGTTTATAAATGCGACACAACCAAATCGGAATATCGCGCTTATTTAACATCGTTATGATACTATCAAAATGAAGATAAAGATGTTCAGAGAAATGTAATCATTTCAAAAACATACAAATATCATCTGACGATATCCTATTTGTTTAGATTTCAATTACTCTCGAAACAAGGAGGAATAATTTCTTAAAATAACTTAGGTCATGTCTTTGTACAAAATAGTTTCGTCATCGAAAAACAAAAAATGTAAGTGCAGCAAAAATCATTTTCGATCATTAAATTTTCTGCACGAAAAAACTGAATACGTTCTCGCTCCTGGCATAACAGGAATTTAAGTACTAAATTAACTTTTCAAATCAATGAAATACAACTCCGAAAATATATGGAAGTTGATTGATTTTCAATTAATTATTTTTAATGCGAATGTTCTACGAATTCTCTCTTAATTTCGAAATTTTAGTGATTTTTTTAATTAATCGTGACGAATCAAAACCGATTTAGATTACTATTTCAAGCAAAATCCACCTTTGTATTATACCATTACATTTTGAAATTTTTACATTAAATGTATTACGAGACAATATGATTCATTCTTGATATTTTTAAAAACAATATTCATTTAATACATATAAAGAAAATCATTGTGTATCTTCAATGAGGATTAATAAACGCAATAAAAATAGATTTTCTCCAAAAACTCACTTCACCAGAATAAGTTTTTCCGTCTACGGTGTGTTCTGATCCGTAAGAGCTGTTGTCTCCCCAATGGCAGTGAAATTGTTGTAAACGATAATTATGTTGTAATGGGCCTCCCTCCAAACCTGAATATATAAATTAGAATTTTAATACATCATATTTAGTATACAAAAGCTACACATTTTTACATTAATGAATTTAGTTATGTTCACAGTACTAAATACGAATTATTTTGTATGGAAATAAAACAAATAATTTCAGGTTTTACATTTAATTACTTAAAGAATAAAATCTATTAACAAATATTTTAAATAAGCATAATAATATCTCTATGGAAAGAAAAAGTAATTTTATTTTATTGTTCAGACTGTTTAATATAAATATAAAAATATTTAAATAATTTAAACGTATTTTATATAACAATCTTTTAAAAAATTTAGCAACGAGTTGCTTAACTTTCCCGGCAACATTTGGTGGACCATCTGTTAAAAATGTAAAAAGTTTTTATAAAATATGATAACTATTATAAAATGGAAAAAAAGCTTAATTTTGAGGCTAGGGATGGGTTTTTATAAAAAAAAAAATTGTAAATGTTAATAACGAGTAAAATCGTCATTAAGTCCGACTCTACTGGAGATATAAGATACACTACCCCCATTATCGCCCCACCCCTCGACCTTTATCACCAAATTTAATAGCATCAATCCCCTTAATAAAAACAAATCTCCCTGCAAAATTTCAGAAATTTCCAACAAAAAGCAAGGGAGTTAAGCTTCAAAGTAGGTGAAGAAAATCGTGCTTCCCACACACAAGCATCCATATACTATATACAGAAAAAATTCCCGAATTTTTTTGCATTTCTCGACGTTTCGAGGTCCCGAATCCAAAAATGTAAAAATCTGAAAAGGAGTCATTTTATTTTTACTTTCCTTCTGCTGTTTATAATAGGGGTAAGGTATGGCGATCGGTCAAAAATGACTCCCCAATTTTACATTTTTGGACTCAGGGGAATTTGGAACGTCAAGAAATGCAAAACAAAATTGGGGGTTTCTATGTATGGATGCTTGTGAGTGTGTATGTATGCTGTGGGAGCATGATTTTCGTTCACCCAGTATCAGTTTGAAGCATAATAACTCAAGTGCCTTTTGTGTAAAATTTCTAAANCACAGAAGGATCAGGTGGTACGCCAGTGAAAAAAAAAGTTGAGAACAGCTGTTATATAAGAATTTGTTTTCAAAAGAAAGCATAAAACATTTCTTTGGCATATTGTGAAATAAAATTTTTAAAATAACATTAAAAAATTTTCGTATAATAGTCTTTAAAAAAACTTTAAAATAGGAACTCACATCCTTTGGCATCCACGTCAACTTGCCATCCGTTACCCGTATTGTGTAAAGCGGTACAAATATCAGATTCATAATTCCAAGTCAATTTATAACGAAGCAATTGTTCATCTGTCATAATGGATGTCGTGTCGATATTGATTGGCGATTGCTGTGTTCCATTAGCGCTCGGATAATATTTACACCACAGGTGGGGTCCTGCAAATTTATAAGTTTTGAGTAGAGTTATTTCTAATCGACAATAGCAAGTCGATAGCGAAGCCCTACGTATATAATCATTATATATTTTAATTCTATTATCGGTTTACAAAAATCATTTTTATTAATTTTATTTTAAAATTTTTGCACTAAAAATTATCGTTTTATCTCTTCTATAGACACATCACAAAAGAAACAAACTAAAAATTTTATTTAAAAAAATAATATGCTTATATAATAATTTTTTGTAAAACAGGCTTATTCATTAAAGATTTGCTTTTAACTCTCAACCTTTAAGTGTTTTATAATGATTCCAGATATAAACAGTTTCAAAGTTATACGTACAAAAATAACAAAACATCTAAAATGAATCTATATACAGTAACATCTAAAAGCATCCATATGAATAAGGAAAAATATTAAAAAAAAAAAATACCGTTTTAAAATCCAAAAGTAAACTTTATAAATATCAGATTTAAAATTACATAATAAAAAAACACTGAAATAAATATCACGCTTATTAAAAAAGAAGTTACTAATTATTGTATAATTGTTAAGAAGTTTATTATAAAAAAAACGTGTTCTCTCTCTTTGTAAATGGTTTAAATTATTCAATATTGAATAAGAGATCAAATAATTTGTTAAAAAGAGAAATAACAGTTTCAAAATTTTTAAAAAATCTGTCTAAATTTAAAATGTGGATTTTTGAAAATCTTTTTAAAATTTAAGATTTGATTGAACAATTTCGAAAAATGGATGGAACGTGTTTTTACGTTATTCGGGAAACCTTACATAATACCAGATCGATAAAATCTCAGTTAAATCTTATTTTATTATATATTTATTATTATATTAAAAATAGTAAATTTTTTTACTTATAGCTAATAGATAAAATCAGAATATATATAAAAAAAATAAAAGTACAGTATTAAAATTCGTTGACATAAAAAAAAGTTATGTCCCCAACTAGAATTGTCATAATACTACAAAATCTCAACGATATACAGGTAAATAATTACAGTTGTGGTCCGATTGCATGCCAGATAATGCCGTTATAGTACCTTAGACCTGTTATCCCAGTATTCCGTAGTAATTTACCCTCTGCTAACCGTTTTATGTTCAGAATTTTCAGGTGTATATGTTTGGAAATCTTCGAACACCAGGCCTGTCTGTAAAACGCAGTTATAAGACAGATATTCTCAAAACAGCCGTGATTAAAGTCTACGTCGTCGAACTGAGGGAAGCAGAATGGCAGTAATGCCGAAATGTCCGTCATATGGGCCATTTAACCCGATTGATGAAACGTTGAGGGCAATGGTTAGGCTACGTCGGGCACACATACACGGCTCTAGAAGCCCCAGATATACAATCTGGAAAGATTACCGTTGCATAATCGTGAGCCAAACATGAACACGCAACGGAGTCTTTAGGAACGGACGACCACTGTATTTGTGTCTGGGAGGATCGCTTTCATTTTTCACTGGTAAGCGCTTGATTTTTGTTTTTACTATTAACAAAACGCTCACAGACCAACACGACAGACGGAGGCAATCTTATACGAGATTCGGTCCCTCTAGTAATGGTGCTAGAGACACAAGAGGTAGGACGTTCGGAAAATCTTGGGCCCTTGCATGTTACCTTTAATGGCAGGGCTGCAAACGACTTTTTTCCAGCAAGATAATGCTCAGTCGCATACAGATAAAGCTTTCAGGAAATTTCTCTGTCACGATGCTACATTTCCTTGGACTTCCCAGAGTCCACATTCGTCGTCCATCGAGCAATTGTAAGAGCAGATGGAACGCCAACTTTGTCCATCTAGAATATGAGGGTTCAGGAGCGACAGCATTTGTGGAGAAAAATCTGTCGAAGGATACGATGCCTGTATACTTTCATGTCAAACCGTATCGCCGTACGTACATTAAACAAGAGAAAGTCCTACAAGATTTTAAAAAGATTCCTTTAAATCGTACCGTTGTTCACAGGAAATTATTCCTTTTCTGCGATATGATAATCACTTATTACTGTCGTCATTATGTTCGCATTAAAGTTTCATTTGATTCAAACAATCTTCTTCTTTGTGCATATTTTGTTTTAATGAACGAGTGTACAGTACAAGAACTTGATAAATATTAAAATCGGAGAGTCATTTTTAAACTTGTAACTGATGTAAAATAGACAATTTGTGTGCTTTATATAATTACAAATTACTTCTTGCATTAATAAAGAAAATTATATAAAATGTTATTTTAATAATAACAACAACAACAACAACAACAACAACTTTTACACTAAATGAATTTAATTATAAAAAACTGAAAGTATCGACTATTATTAAATCGTGATCTAACGTAACTTATATTACATAATTTTCTTCGGAATAATAGCATATATTAGGCCTACAGGAAGTTAAGAAATAACGTCTTAAATGTAAAATTTTCCTTTAAAAATATATTAGCTTTTTATGTTTCAATGAGCATTTCAAAAATGCTTTTATATAAAAAGGGGCACTGAATTACAGATAATTCTTGGCTTTCAGAGAAATTTCTTTTACTGATTTAGAAAAATTAACTATTTTTGCATTAAACTGTTTTATTTTATAGTTTAATTTAATAAAAAATAATCAGAAAAAATTTATAATTAATTAATAAATGAAAAACGAAGTTTAAATTGTACGGTATAAAGCGGGCAAAATCTGCAATTGAAAGCAAAAATGTCATTCGTTAAGCAACAAGCTATATTGCAATTCTGTAAAATATCCTTCATTTTCGGTTACTATTTATTTTTAGTGTTTGTAGAATCTGGCTATTGCTCAGTTTTGGCAAATAAATAAACTTTGATTGGTGTAAAAAAGAAGATAAATCATCTACAGAGGTTGCCAAATCTGCGAAAAGCTTTTAAGTGTAGGCCTGTACGAAATAGCATAATAAAGCATCACAACAGATCATTAGCGCATGATATAACGTATAATTTGACGAGCACCTGCAATGAAACAGACTGATAAAATATAAAATTCAAAGAACATACCAGTCGACCCCCCTATAAAACTGTTGATTATTCCGTTTTATATGAATTCCATGTTGTACGAGTCACTTGGATTTTATAAATACGTTAGCTATTCATAGCCCGGCACACGTATTTGTAAAATCTAAGTGACTCATACAACATGAAATTCATATAAAACGGAATAATCAACAGTGTTATAGGGGGGTCGACTGTATTTCTGTTATTTATCGAAATAACTAAATATCTAGAAAGATCACGTTTAAAGATACTGATATATAGCACATAAAAGCTTATAAGATTATGTCATCTTTGAAGAGAATTTATTGTTCTAGATAAAAGATTTATCTCTTGTTACAATATAGGTCGAAGCAATTTTTAATATATATATATATATATATGACTACCTGCGGAAAGAGAATTAAGGAAATTGCATTTTATAAAAATTAGATCGTCTGTCGACAACAGTACAATGCATATTGGGATTAAATTAATAGCACCTACCAATTGTTGACACCATAAAAATCATTTTTCAATCATTTTGTTTTTTACACGTGTACTGTATATTATAAAATAGTGTCAAAATTATATGAAAATAATATTAAAAAAATTTAATTGGAGAAAAATTACTTAGCAAAATAATCTAATTAAAATTATGTAAAACAGATAAGTAAAACCTGTGCAAAACGGAAACTGGATAAAACGTAAACGTGCCTAAACGGAAAAAAAATTTCGGAACAGGATGTTTTCTACGTTAAAAAAAAAAAACCTTTTAAAAACGGAAAAGATTTTTTTACGCGTTTTGATTCTGGTTTACACAAATTTTACTGTAATTTATTTGTATAAAATGTGTTAAATTTCTATTGTAGACCTATTTTTGTATGTGTTAGATCAATTTAAAAACGTGTCACTTGATCGCGAAGTAGCAATAGAAATTCTATTGTGCAGAAACTTTTATATTAAAAAAACAGAAAAAAAATTTATTATAAAAGTTATAAATATAGGCTACTAGTTTAAATATTAAAATAAAAATAATTTTAGTATGTTAATAACTTGTATTTAAAAAACATTATTTTTCGCGCTGTATTTATAAGTAATTTAATTAATGTAGTTTGCTAATTCTCACGCAATATACACAGTATTTTCGGTGTTGAAAATTAATAACCCGTGCTCATACGTATTATTATTATTATTATTATTATTATTATTTTAATTAAAAAGGCCACAGAACGAATAATATTAATTTCACTATTCTTTCGACAAATTATTATACAAATTTAATTTTTAACAAAAGATTATATTTATTTAACTAAGATATCTTTATAAAATGTCATAGTAGGTAGGTTTTCTTGAGCTAATTATAATTGATTTTATAAATTTATTTGCTATGAATTTAAAGGATGATGATAAGTTCTTCAAATTCATAGCAAAAAGTAGCTATTAAGAAGATTAATTTATAAAATCAGTTTCGAAGTCACAACGTTATCTTTTTTTTAAAGTAAAAGTCTCTCTTATTTTATATCTAAAACATTTTTATATGACAATTTAAATTATTGCTTGGTAATTTCATCAAATCATCATCAAATTTCAAAATGGCTGATGCGAGTAAAAGATCGATGACAGTATAGAAAGAAAATAAATTATAGAATTAAAGTCAAAACAGGTTACTTGACAAAAAAGGCTATTAATTTATATTTATACTACCACGATTAAATGCAAATAAAACAATTATTTTTCTTGCCAAATTTGCTTATTTCATTTTGTTATAAATTACGCCGTTCATGAATTAATTTACTATTATATCTTACTGATGCGAATTTATAAATTATGAAAATTTATGCTGTTTGAAAGTTGTATTAAGAGAGTCACAATGAACTTATTTTATTAAAATTCGAATATAGATGTTTACTAAGTAGCCAAATTCGACACTGAATATTAATACAGTATTTTTAGAATAAGCCACACAGAACGTGTGTTACAGCAAACAAGGTTTTCTGTAACACATTTTCACACATTAAAAAAGGTAAATATATAAAAAGAAAATAAAAAAAGATTATAAAGATTATTGTCAAATTTAATTGGCAATTATTTTTATTTCTCCTTTGCAAACTTATAGCTGCAGGATAGAAGTTTTCTATCTAGTTTAACTGATAAAAATTTTTTTTTAAACGTTAGACAAGTCAAATTTGGATAAACTTTTTTATCTAAAAAGTTGAGATTATTGTACTAAATACACTAATAAAATGGAAGAAAAATCAAATTCTTTATGATATATACATATCATATTACTATAGTTAAGTGAAAATGTATATAATGTCTACAAGTTTTTTGAAATTTAAAGAAGTGGCTTAATAATTTTCCGCCCATCTAAGCGTGACGTTGCCATTTATCTATGTCAACAGCCGATTTATTTACCGTGTACAATTACTTAAGTGTTCGAAAATTAAGATAAAAATCATCTAAATAAATTTAAAGTTATTTTCTTACTTCATATTTTTATATAAAATTTTAAAACAAAAGAAAGATAAACTTATGATAATGATGATAATTTAGGAGGAAACATTTTATGAAAACCTTTGTCCACCTGACCCGCAATTCTTGTTTATTATCTTCCATCAACGTACACGTACAATGCAGTGGTGTTATTATGTAAGTTCTTTTCCTGTTTATTGTTTGATATCGGTTATTCAACAAATAATTAAATATTAAAAACATTCCATATAAAAATTCCTTATTATATTTATGATCTCTAAATTAAATGTATTTTTAATTAGTTATTACGTAACGTTAGAAAATTTTAAAGATTTATTCTATAATATCCCATAAATCATTCAACATATACTTGATTATAAACAACCATGTAAATGATGAAGCTTAATTTATGATAATTGAAGTAGATGTAAACTCATTGAAATGCGTCTACGAATTTATTAAATAAAAATAAATATTTAGTTCTAAATTCTTCAAAACTTATTTATATTGTTTTTATTCTGTATATTAATATTGTTTCTATACGTATATTTTTAAGTGTTATTACTAAATATTGATAAAGTTTTTTTCTTTTTACCCTAACTGCTTTATTCTGTAACTAATTTATGGACGAAAGACAAATACACAACGGGTATTTTTATGGGTTTTTATGGGAAAATCTTCAGATTTTCCCATAAAAAACCCATTGTATATTTGTACCCCGAATAAAACATCATGAATAACAATATAAAACAACAAATATGACAAAATAAAAACACTGAATTAACAATATAAAACTTAGCTTATCGGAATGGGTAGTAAACTAGGACTTTCATATTGAGGCTATTTTTATTTAAGGAAAACATCAAAACTAACAATTAACCGTAAAGGAAATAGAGTGACTGGATGCAAATATCCGTTTCCTTATTCTATTAACGTAACTGTTTAAAGACATACTACACGTTTCCAACAGCGAATTATTGTCACACACACAAAGAAAGATAAGTTACAAAATAAAATCGATTAGAATACGTTTATATTTTAATAACTAAATGTAAAAATTATCTATTAAAATTTCTATATATAGAATAACTGCTTTAAATTAAAATACAACTACAGTAAAAACATTATATAGGCCTATATATAATGTTTTTCATTAGTTTGTGTTTAAGAGAATAATAAACATTATTTTCGTTTATTCTATTTAAGAAATATTTACTGATTTTATTTAAGGAAAATGTTTTATATAAAATAATTATTTTAAGGAATACGAATAGAAATTTTCAATTTTAGAAAATAAAACTTCCGATACGTGTAAGAGAATAACGAATCCATTATTTCTAGTCATAAGAACAGAACAGGGTTGGTACATTATTAACACTTTCTCATGAAAGATTTTGTCACTAGATTCCTTAGAGCAATTCTCATCCCGGTGTTCCCTACTACGATCAATGAATGCAGTCTCTCGAATCGATTCGGTAACCTTTCTGACGTCAACAGGTCACAACGTCCTACAAAATCTACTCCTTTCAAATATCATATTTAAAAACTAAAAAAATTTTTTAAATAAATATTTTAAAGAAATNTTTATTATAATTATATAATTTTTCCTCTATTATTTTATTTAATTATATAATTTATTTTTTAAAAAATTTACTATAAAATAAGGTAATTATTACACGTATAAAAACATTAAAAGAAAGTTTAAAAATGATTATTAAATTCCGAAAACAAATGACTGATAGGCTATCAGTCGACCTTAATTTAAAAGTTATCGGAGTTGTCACTTTATCGATGTATTCAGCCACGAGTATTTTTAGATTAAAAAATTACTTTTAATTAAATAAAATGCGAAAAATTATATAAAAATTTATTAATAAAGTAGAAAAATTATTTATGTAAAATTAATTTACATAGAAAAATCTAACTACTCACCATTATGCTGATCGTATCCCCATTCGACCGCCATTCTGGGAATGATTCGAGGAAACCTACTCCTCTTCCATAAATAATTCGAATTGGATTCATGTCGGAAGCTGGGCCATCTTATACCAATCCGACAAATGTTTAACCACGTGGTACGCATGCGTTGTTATTTTGCCGAGTTGGCATGTGGCACGTTGAATAAGATTTCCCTCCCGTTGTTTGGTTTGATTAGTTTTTCACGGTTGTTCTATTAATCGAAGGATTATTGACACCATTTGCAGTTTTAGGAACATCTCGTCGTCATGGCTACGAAGGAAGGTCAACTGGTATCGTGTGCTTACAACTGTATAACGTGTCCTTTATGGGGGTATCGAGTTGCCTTCGGAAGGAAGCTCGCTCGTTTACATTACGTAAATGTAGGCCTATAGCTTTTCTATATTTTATCGATGCGGATTTTTTATTAATACTTTGCTAATATAATAAAACTTATATTTAAAGTTATAATAAAAGAATATGCAGTTTTAACAAAAAAAAAAAAAAAAAATTCTGTTCGTTTACAAATGTTGTGGGTCCTAATTTAAATTTTTTTTTTCGTCAAGAGACCCCCTCGAAGGTACGTAAAAATAGTTTATTATTTTTTTTTTGTAAATTAATTCAGCGTTATTAAAGGAATTAAGTATAATAATTTTGTTACGTTTATTGAGCGTTACAGACAGACACACAATAATTTTTTTAAAATTATAATTACGTAAACTGAAAGAAAATTGTGATGTAAAATAATAGAAAATACTTTCAAAATTGCACGGAAACAATAGAATAAATAGATAGAAGTTTTTAAAATTTTTATCTGTAGATTTCGTAAATGTTTTGTGTATATTACAAATCGGCAAAAAATTACAAAATATCCGTGTATAGATTAGATTTTAAAATATAATAAAAATTAAAATTTAAAGCATGAAATGTTTTTAACGTTGTAAATATAAGTTTGTTTTTCTGAATGAAAAACTTGAAACCAAACTTACCTATTCGTATATTTTAATAATTTGTTTTGCTGCTATCGTATTCTACGATTTATGGATATTTTTAGTTAATTTTTTACACTGAAGAGTTATACAATATTAGGTCAAACCCTTTAGGCGAAGGATGACTTTTCCTTTTTTTGTAATAATAGATTGCAAAAGCAAGTTTGTAGAGGATTTCAATGACATGTTTGCTTTCTTCAGAAAAATCCTTGAAGTTGCCAGCAAATTTTTTAAATTCTTTTTCAGGCTTTTGTGAAAATCAAAAACACATAAGATTAACACATCTTCATTTCTAAAATCAATTAATATAATATTTTAAAAAATAATATATTAAAATCTATTCTTATATAACATCTGAGTCATCTGTGTAAAAGTTCTAATTAGTTTTCTATTTAGTACAAATCACGTTCTAATTTTCACACTATTTAATACCAAGTATTGCCTAATTATAGACTGACTTGATCGAATTCACGTACTATTTGAAACTAAATCAGTAAAAATAATCTTAAAAATCGAATTTAAATGTTTTTGCATACAAAATATTGAAGTATAGTATAGATCTACTGTATAAGAGGCCTGTGGTATATTTGTTTTTATGTAATATTATTAAATATTTTATCTTTAATCATAGCTCTATAACAGTTATGACACTGAATAGATAAAGTTCATAAATAACTCGATAAATTCTGTAATCTTTTGCGTAATTACTAATTAAAAATGCTTCCTGTTATCTACGTGACTACACTATCCAAGCATAGAAAATATGAAAATTACAGCCGAATTGATTTATTTAAAGTTGTAAAAATTAGTTGGTATATTTTGTTTATTTTAAATAATTTCACACATTTATTAAAGTATTCTTAACTGTGTATTAATTACGTATAAAATATTTATTTCTCCGGCAGATCATAACCTAATTCTCAGACTGGAAAACTTTGAAGTTAATTTTAGCCTTTTTTAAGAATAGGTATCGTGAAATTTATTGTAGTTTTTCGTTTTTCTTAGTCAGCAGTTTAAAAATTCATTTTATTTTAGCTTTGTTTGCATTCTTACGCAGTTGTACCACGAGGAAAAAAATTACATCTTTTGAGGCTTCTTTATTTAGAAATGTTAAATGTCAGTAGCGACATCTTTTGATAAATATTGAAATTAAAGTCGTAAACACTTTATATAATGTTTTTCATTAGTTTGTGTTTAAGAGAATAATAAACATTATTTTCGTTTATTCTATTTAAGAAATATTTACTGATTTTATTTAAGGAAAATGTTTTATATAAAATAATTATTTTAAGGAATACGAATAGAAATTTTCAATTTTAGAAAATAAAACTTCCGATACGTGTAAGAGAATAACGAATCCATTATTTCTAGTCATAAGAACAGAACAGGGTTGGTACATTATTAACACTTTCTCATGAAAGATTTTGTCACTAGATTCCTTAGAGCAATTCTCATCCCGGTGTTCCCTACTACGATCAATGAATGCAGTCTCTCGAATCGATTCGGTAACCTTTCTGACGTCAACAGGTCACAACGTCCTACAAAATCTACTCCTTTCAAATATCATATTTAAAAACTAAAAAAATTTTTTAAATAAATATTTTAAAGAAAT